ACGTAGCCAGGGTACGTTTTTATGCGAGACTGGGTTGGTGTATAATATGTGTGAGTGTGGTATCGATCTAGCTCTCAGAAGGAAAGCTAATTTATATTCCCAATAATATCATAGTATTCTTTTTAACAACTTGTTTCAAGCACTGGTGAAATAAAATTGTTTGATAATACATATTCAATATCTATTAAATGTTCTTCTACAGCATTTTAATCTGTCTTTATCTTTAATTTGTCACAAGTGATCATTAGAAATCATTGTGTTGCCATGGCTATGTGGGTAAGATAAACCAGCAGGCCATCATTCTGGCAGGTGAATAATTCAAATACAGATGAACTCAGGCGGAATGAGCTACAGTCCATCTATTTGGACCTGAGAGATTTAACTGTCACATTATATGAAAGGAAAGGAAAGCAATGAAAAGCATCCTTGATGAGCAGGAAAGGGAAAGGTCAACATCATTAACAATCTGAAAATGTGAGCTTCCCAATTCCCCAATGCAGTTCATAAAGAGCTATACATTCCTCCTTTTTTTAAGTGATCAAAAGAGATCAAACTAATAATTCACACATGAGCATGAACTGCAAATGTAAAAGCTGTAAAAGCATAGTAGATTAATCTGTCAGTGGTCTGTATGTTTGTCTGTAGGCTTTACTCAATTCATCACATGTCACACACTTGACTAACCATCCAAACCAAAAACTAAAACTCCCCTGGATTTTTGAGAAGATAATCAATGTTTCCATATGATGAACAATGAACAACTGTTCTGTGTAAAACATACCAGAAGTGTTTATTTATTGAACTATTAGACCCTAAGGTGGTCCAGGCAGCAGTGTGGTGGCGATATAATAATCCTGCTCAGATCAGAGCAACACAGTGAATTCACTGAACAAGTAATAGATTAAAACTACCTCGAGTGGTGTGGGGAGAAAGAGCAATATAGAGTATAAGCACCCTTATTCTGTATTGACATGGCCAGCTTCTCTGTAAGTGAATAGGTGGACTTTCAGATAATCAGACAACACTAATGAATCCACCTCTGTGATCTATTGAACATGTTATATCCAGCTTGAGCTGACAGCTTTATAATTAATTGGGACCTATATGGTAAAAAAAAAGAAGAAAGAAAGGCATTCATGTGGGAGAACTGAGTGAAAATGAATGTTACAGGCACAGAAGGAGCACACAAACAAAAACACACACACTCAACAGTCGTGTCCACAGGGCTTTTTGTGTCAACACAAACAAATCTGTTGTGTTCTCAGAAACCCAGACCTGTAAAAGTGGTGACTCATTGCTGACCTCCCATACTCTGTCAAGCACAATTGGTAGATAAGGGAAACACTTTCCCTTCTGATCTTTGTCAAGCCTGCCTAGGTTTCCTGAAGTCACATTACCTTCAGCCTGACCAAAGTTTGACCACAGATAGATTTCCATCAGAATCAAAAAAATTATGACCTTTGGCATCACATAGAAAATCTGCTACAAAACACTTCTTCAGAATCAATCTTTGTCATTGATGTCATATCTAGGCAGCTTTGATCCTGCGCTTAGACAGCCTAACCTTTTCATTTAATTTGGAACTCCCTCACGTCACCGCCCCACTTCCTCTCCCTTTATGGTGGTCGTGAAATGCGCAAAAAACACAAATGGCCTTATTTAGAGCCGGTGTTCTGGTTTGTCTGTTCTGGTGCTGTATCATGGCAGTCTCCATGGAAGGTGACCCATGTAGATATAAAAGGTTCATTCGAAGGTAACAAATACATAACGATTCTTATTTTCAGGTGATTATACACTAATGGCAGCATATCTATGAATATCATATTCAATTTCTGCCAATAGATCCTCATAAATGTTACACACAGGACATTTGAGTAAGTCTGGTGATATTCAGTATTACTCTTATGATATCCCATGAAATGACCAAAACCAACAAAGAGTTTATCCCACTATCTGTTGTAGTCCAAAAACTATTGAAACACATATGAGACAAAATCATTGCTCTGTTCTCACAGACAGTTTATTTTCAGTCTATCCTAGATATATCATCCTACTGCCATAAATACTCAGTAGTCCACCATATGTGAATAAATCTGAATTAAATGCGGAATACTGGTTGCCTAGCTACTGTACCAAACAGTAACACAAAGATGCTGGTGGCAGCTGGGAGATAAAATTTTACTAAAGCCAAAACAGGTGTGCTTGCAATTATTTTTCTAAATGGCGCCATCTCAAGAGCACCAATTCATTATCCCGAGAAAATTATCACGAGAAAACAAGAGGTTCTTTCCTCTTATTGCTTATAATGTTTATCAGAGATCAGGAGTAGGAGCATATTGTAGATGTAGCATTGGTTCAACATGATGGACAATGCATGCCAGTTAATATTCATTTTCATTCTGACCAAAATGAGCCAGCAACCAGGAAAAGGTGAATGAAAGGAATCTGGACATTGCAAGGAGAGTGGGGCTCATTTAATAAATCACTTTGCTTTGTTTGTTTTGTTTCAATGAACCTTCAGATGTACATTCAGATAACAACTCAGTAAATTCAGCTATGAATCCTCCCTGACTATCATGACAGCCGTTTTGAAGGCTGAAGTCAGGTGTGATCAAACGCACCAGACACTTATTTTTGAGTTATCCAAGTTATACCATGATCTTATGATAAATTACCTCGTTATCTCAATAACTCAACTAAATTTTGTTTACTTGATATTTCAAGATAAATTACCATGTAATCTTGAGATAATGGTGTTAAAATACATATTGCAAGCACAGCCCTTCTTGGCTTCCATAAAATTCATAAAAAGGTACTTTTGACAGAGCTGTTTCGCCCCAAGCTAAACTGGTTATCCACCGGCTCTAGCTTCATATTTACCATAAAGACATGAGAGTGGTGTCAATCTTCTTAATCTCAGCAAGAAAACCAATAACCATATTTTCTAAAATGTCAAACTATTCCATTACAGGTTTACATCATCGGTGGGAACCAGGGCTGAGTTGGTTTTGGTCTTTTCAGTTTGTTGGTGTAACGGTCTGTGATTCCAGTAGTGCAAGTTAATTGGCTCACAGGGGTTGACTCTCAGAATGCAGTCAAAGCAATATTTTGAACCTTATTTGTCTGTTGTGAAGCTGCTTCAAGTGAGAGGAGGAGGGGGACTCGGCGCGGCGCGTTAATAATGTTCTGTGCACTAATTAGATCGACTTTGTTAATATTGTCAGAATTAACCTACTTACTCAGAAATCACTTTAATGCCTACGTTAAGCAAATAGAGCTGCACACCTGTAAACAAAAGCGTGACGTGATATAGATTCAGCTGTGTGAAAATCTTAAAAAAAAAAACAGATTTGGATATCTAGTACTTAAATAAATATGCCTCTACTTGAAAGCACATAAAAAAAATAAAGTAAACATGACTGCTACTGAGATATCTCGCCCAGCTGTGAGGTTGTTCATGGGGAGTGTTATACAATATGAATTTACATCTCTAAAGGGATAGATCACAGTTCTAGTGATACACTTGAAACATATATTATATTATATATATATATTGTTTTTATTCATATATATGAAAAATGAATAGAAACAAGAAATTTCGAGACATGTTTGTACTTGTTGTGACATTAGTGTTTCATAAGTTTGAAGAAATAGATTTTTCAAGGAATCAAGGAAATGTGTTTATTAAATAATGATATATATATTGCTTATATAGGTTACTGAATTGGAATGTTGATACTTGCCATGTTATTTTATTTAGGTGGGTACAAATATATATAAAAAAAGCAAAGTAGAAGTATTTCACTTCATTGTTGTCTGGTGTTTTTTGCATTGGTTTTAATTCCACATTTATTCTTGTTCTGCATTTACACAGCAATTATACTGAACACAGTATGTATGTGTCTAAGAATAAAGTTTTGCAGCTGAACACACATTCATTGTCTTTAATTACAGTTAAAGCAGCTACGAAATAGTTTAAGTTTGGGTTAAAAACCTCATATAGTCTGATATCGAGGAAAATCCGTCTGAATCCGTCCCGGTGGAATGCATTAAGAGTAACTATCTTCTTGCTGATCTTGTTTGTTTATGTGGATCATATGGAGGCATCAGTATTAAATTGACTGTTTCATACCCAGTTACAGACTTATTGTAGTATGTTTAAGGAGTAAGACATTTTAATTACTCACATTAAGATTTGAGGATTTCTTTTTTCATTGGAATTAATGAAAGAAAACTGAAGGGACAGTGTTTAGCATTGATAATTTTTTACTTACAAGAGTGATCCTCTTCTCAACACTGCCATATTGAAAATCATTGCTCTGGATGGATTGGTAGGCCCTGTGCAGCTTCCAGGCAATACCAAAATAGGTGAAGAGGACGACCAGACAGGGGAGGAATGTGCACAGTACAGACAGAGTCATGATGAATGTGGAGTGGTTTAGGGACTCCCCATAGCCGGTCCAGTCTATCGAGCAGGCAAGTCCAAACGGCTCTGGCCCGTAGCTGCCCCAGCCCAGCAGAGGAAATAAGGCCCACAAAATAGCATACAGCCAGATCCCACTGATCGCAATACTGATGGTTCTCCTCTGGAACTTGATACCTGTGCACAAACAGATTTTAAATTCATTTCAGTATGTTGCACTGTTGTGATTTGTATAGATACTGTGCTACTTTGCATTACAGTATATATGTTAAGGCTTCTGTATAGGAGGAGGTAGTTGGGATGATGGAGGGAATTGTGGCAGCAAATTAAACCCTATTTTAATACCAAGAGTTGTTTTGTTAATGGCCCATATCTATTTCAAATGTTGGCATTTTAGAATATCATTAAAACACTTGATTATGGTTAGGGAATGATTATGGTTACAATTAATGTAAAGGTGAACATTAGTTGCAGTTCATTCTACCTTGTTACATATAGGACAGGAAATGCCAAAGCTACTTACTGTATTAGCACGGATGGCTGATACTGACATAATTCTGGAATTATTATTTTAATTATTCAAAATATTATAAATGTAAATGTCTCTGCTAACCTACGCAGAGAAGGGTGTTGTGGGTAGGTTACGGACTGAGTCCCGCAGCATAGCCAATGTGCACACCTTCCAGTATTTTAAGCGACCCCTTTGTCCTACATGCAAGTGTGAAATTGTCTAATATAGCCTGAACTCCTAAGGATACTGGTCTAGGATACTGTAGATCTACATGAATATGGCTGGAAATTACTAACCAGCTAGTTGCCATACAGCTGAACAACTGAGCCAGTGACTGTAAAGCAAAAATGAAACAGTTGATGCCAGCTAATGCTAATGCTGTGACTATAGTCCTCTAATCTTCAACAGATCAGAGCATTATTTGTGGGTACCTGAGGATGTTTAGGCTCTTTGAGTTTTTCAGAATTTACAGGAGAGCTGTGCACAGGCTTTATTATGAGTACACTGCCACCAACGGAGGCAGTTGCATTGATAACACTCGGTTCAAAGCTCCATTGTGTATTTACTGGCAACTCGCATCCTAATGATGTATTGATCAGCGATAACCACATCAATTTACACCCATCGCCAGCAGTCAGTAATCAATCCCGTAGCCATTTCTAACCCTGACTGGACTGCAAACTGCCACAGATTGACACACTGTCAGTTACAATGGCAGGCTCTTATGTATAAGTGTTATTTTGAAGTTTGATTGATTATATTGTATTTCTATGCACAACTAATGAAAGGTCACAAAGAAAACTATTGGCAGCATAACATACAGTATGTTATGAGAGTTATCAACATACTGTTGGTGAAGGGTTTGAATATACTTATCAATATATTGTTAGTAATACACCCCTACTTATTTGGATCTGCAGATATTAACCCACTAAATTACTTGTATGGACTGACATACTTTCAATTAGCTTAGTGTGCTTATCACTTGGCTCCTTGCATAAAGAAACCTTTATAGTTTATTATGTTATTATCCTTGCATATTTGTATGGTGTGCCTGTGGCAGCAGCCAGACTAATACTTCAATGTGGGCTGCTACAACAATCGGATGTTGCGAGGCTGCTGTCTAACAATGCTTCTACTGCGGCATTGAGGTCTTGTGGGGTCCTAAGCTCACAAACTGAAGCTTGTATATTTGTAAGTGAGTCACATTAATATATCTATGCAATGCTTTCATGGTAAGAGATGAGAAACAAGAATACTTAATTTGACTGTGGTTAACCTACTATAATTCCATATATACTGTATAACATTACTTGGTGTAAGAGCAAATGAATATCAGTGTAAATGTCAGTTATGGTATCAGTTGTATCTATTATTCAGCGAACCAAGCTGTGTGCACTGCTTGCTTGGGATCCTATTAAAATAAATTGGCTGCCAACAATAAAGCTCTCACTGAGTGAAGGGATGAAAGAAGACAGCAAAGCGAGGCTTGGTCAGTGGGCTTTACAAAAATTTGACTGGAAGTTAGTCAAGCTCTTTTTTCAAGCGTTTTTAACAGGTTTAGAATAGATGATTATCTTAGCTTTATATTATTATTAGCTTTATAGTTTATAAAAAAGGGTTTATTCTGCATTGGGTGCCCAGCTTTTCATTAGAAGGTACATCCCTGTGACCTTTGATAAGATTGATTGCTTACTTTAAGCATTGATTTCTTCATATCATGTGGTATTTATTAACTGCTCTGCTTGCCTGTAAATCCCAGCTCAGATTACACTACCTGTCTTGGGTGGACTTCCCGTTACCAGGTACCTGACCATCCCCATCACCGCCAGAGTCACGATGCTGGTTATACTGAAGATCATGCCCATCAGACCATAGTAGAGGCAAGTTGTGTCACCTCCAATCCAGGCATGGTTAAAAGCTGATGCAATGGACAGTGGATACATGGTGAGGGCCATGCCGATGTCTGTTAAAGCCAAGTTCACTGTCAGCAGCTCAGGAGCTTTGAGCAGGGAGAAGCGACGAGCTGCACTCACTAGGACTGCCGCATTCCCCAAAATGGACAGAATGGCTGTAAGAAAGAATATGAAAAGGGTAGAGAAACAATTAAGCTCCATCTCAAAACCACACTAATTATCACTAAAGAGAAATGTACACTGTAAAGCTATAAATATGTGTGTGGAGACTGGCTGTATGTGAGATGTTGATCGATACCACATCGCCATATTTTTTCCCCCATGATGGCAAAGTCATTACCTGCCCAAATGTAAAGCTGCAACTAGCACCTTCTTAGCTAAGCTTAAAAGATGGTAAAACAAAGTTGGGAAACAGGGGAAAGCAGTTAGCCTGACTCTCACTAAGTTAAAGAATCTGCCTATCAGCACCTCTAAAACTCACTTTGATCATAAGTGCAGCATAAACCTCAGAAGCTCAAGGTCTGACTGTGAAAAGCTGATGTTCAGGAAAATAGCCTTTACGCAGAATTCCGACTGTGTATGGACCAAGTTATTACAAATTTAAATCATGTAGTGATAATGTGTAATAAAGGTAGTGGTGAAGATCTGATCTGGTTTCCATAAAGATAACTATCTACATTTTTTAAGCAGATAACCACTAATGTATGACAGATAATATATTTGAAGGATTATATCTTTTACTCCTGTATTATAAAAATAGAAAATATTGGACCATAATTACAAAATTACTGCTAACGTCTACTCCATTATAGAGATTGGTTGGTGTGTTCTGGATTCAACCTGCTTTACATAATATCTCTCTCTTACATAAGCTTATGGAAATTTGATTGATACAACATGCAATATTGCGCTGGCATGTTTTCATCTTTAAATAGTCCTTTCAATCTGTGAAAAAGTTTTTGTCCCTCAATAGTCCTAATGGAACTTTCTCTCCCAGATCAACCTTGACATTAGTTATCTGCAGTCATTTCTTATTCATGAACTGTCTGTCATCATTATGAAACAAGAAGACATTATTTTTGACAGTAATAGCTGAAAATTAAGAGGCTTTTTTGAAAATGTTCTTTTTGCGCGTTAAATGTGATTTGTATCAAATACAGTAAAGCTCATTGAATGGTTTTGTGGTTGTAGCTAAACTCACGAGAAACTCACAGAAAAAGTAGCATATATACAGTACTGTACATACACCCTTATACATACATATAGACCCTTTGGCAATCAAAAAATGATTATCAGTTATTGCTGGAGCTCTTCAAGAGTTACTTTACAGTATAATCATTTTATAAGTAGCATCAGAATCGGAATCAGAATCAGAATTGGGTTTATTGCCAAGTAAGTTTTTACACATACGAAGAATTTGCCCTGGTGCACCTGGTAGAGCTGGCGACCATGTACCGGATTGCTGCAGCAGCCCAGGGTTCGAATCTGACCTGCGGCCCTTTGCTGTGTGTCATTCCCTCTCTCTACCCCCCTTTCCTGTCAATCTTCAGCTGTTACTATCAATAAAGGCAATAAAAGGAAAAAAAAAATAAAAAATACTTGTGCCCCCCCCCC